GAGTCTAAAAATATTCCAAAAACGAATCTAGTGGGCTTTGCAAGTGATACTACTAATGTGATGGTAGGAGAACATAATAGCGTTTTTTCTCATTTGAAAAATGAAATTCAACACATAGTATGTGTCCGTTGCTCCTGCCACATGATCCATTTAGCTGCTTGTAAAGCTTGTTTAGAGCTTCCGAGACATGTGGAAGACCTGCTGAGGAATGTTGGCAACCACTTCAGCAGAAGTTCAACGCGTCAACAAAGGTTGAAAGAATTTCAGTCATTTTTTAAAACTGAGATGCACAAAATTTTACATCCTAGCCAAACGCGATGGCTCTCTGTTGAAGCATGCGCTTCTCGTGTTTTAGAACAATATGTACCATTAAAAGCCTACTTCAGAGATCTTTGTTTTGAGGATCCATCAGTAACAAATGAAGAAATTTTAACAACACTAAATAATGAATTCACAAAAATATATTTAGAATTTATGGTATATATTTTGAATATTTTAAACAACTTCAACACACTATTTCAATCTAATGAACCCCTACTGCATAAGCTAAAACCAGAAATAATTAAGATATTGAAAATAGTATATAGTAACTATATCAGAAAAGAAGAATTTATTGTAAAAGATATTTTAAAATTTGACCATACTAATCCAAGAAACTTTTTACCAATAGAAAAATTGTATCTAGGTGTTCAAGCTCAACAATCTCTAATGGAAATTAAAGAAAATGCACCTAAAGACATTGAAGTGTTTTTGAAAACATGCATGAAGTTTTATATTAAACTGGTGACTGACATAAAAGCCCGTTTTGATTTTTCGGACGAGATTTTTGAGCTAATAACTGTAGTAGATCCTTCAGAAGTCCAAAAACAGAATATGGTTTCTTTATTACCTATATTGAATAGATTTCCTTTCCTTGATGATTATGTTGAACGACAACAATTAGATAATGAATGGAGGGAGCACAGTTTATTAAATTTTGATGAATTTCAGTTGACAACTGATTTGCCTGCAGCAAAATACTGGCAAAAGGTATTTCTTCTTAAAAATGCAGCAAATATGGAAATATTTCCAAATTTAAAAAAAGTAATGACCTTGCTTTTAATACTGCCTTTCTCGAATGCAAATGTAGAAAGGATGTTTTCGGAGCTGAATAATATAAAAACAGACCTCCGAAACAAATTAAAGACTGATACTATTAGTGCTCTCTTGGCGACAAAAGAAGGGTGGATGCCTTGAATTCAAACCAACCAGAGAAATGCTGAATGCCAAAATTTGGAACAAGGACTAGTGGATGGTTATTCGTTATTGATACCATTATCTAGTTTTCAAGTCATTAGAACAATGTGATAATAATGTGACCTGTTCTGTTAATTTTCCATATATATATATCATTATGTATATGTAGTCCTAGTTTGTTTTTATTGAGATGTGTATCTCAGTTTTTATTCAATTTCAAATGTTTATATCAAATGTTTTTTTTTTATGTTGGAATCATTTGGATATCATTAGGTTCTTGTCCATGATTTGAGGAAGTAAACATGATTTTTTTGTTATTATTTTGAGATACATTGAATAAATAAACTTATTTTTCTGCAACCGACACAAAAGTCGTCCATTTTGATACCAAAATTAGCTCTTAAATTGACGTTTCTATTACTGACACAAAAATAGGTATGTTGCTAGGCAACATATTTAGTTCCTAGGAGCTAAAGTTGAATTTTAGTTCCTAGGAGCTAAAGTTGAACTTTAGCTCCTAGGAACTAAAAAGGATGTACTGGACGTCATCAAGAATAAACAACATTGTGACGGCTGGTTATTTGGGTTGAGACGCATACCTGATTTTTTTCCGATTTCAGCAGATTTGGCATTTCATATCCATGCTGGAGATATAAATACACCTTATTATAGTTTAGTATCGGAATTATAAACATCTGAGTTAAGTATTTTTGTTTTGATCAGGGAAGCCTTCAAGATTCAAATACTTGCTTGATCTGTATTTCATTCGTTATTCTCGGGATGGATAACTTGTTTTTGAATAATCACGGCAAGCAATAGTTTTTTTGTCTCTAACAACGATAATGTTTAGCTTCATTTGATTATCAGGTCAAACACAATGTAGTATGGAGAGGAATAAATAATCACTATTATCATTGATGTATATTTTATATTTTTTGTACCAGTAATAGAATTATGTATTATAGCTTGACGTGTGTAAATACAATTGTATGTTAACATAAATAAATGAAATGAAATGAAATGACAGTAGTACCGTCATACGGTCAACTCGAGGAAACACTCATTTAAATTGTTTTCCTGTCAAACCTACATAACCTTGAAAATCGTAAATGAGTTGGAGCCTCCCTCAGTGGTGATCTCGGCAGTCCCGGGCGGCGGCGTAGATCGTTCAGTGAGTTTGAGTTCAGTCACGACATTCACGGGTCACGGTCACTCAGTCACTCAAAAATTCAAAAATAGTTCATGCAGTTGTGGAGATATGTCAGATATGTGGAGACCGAGCCCCCATACTGGCACACTGGCCCTTACAGCTCTGGGGCCCGATTCTCGAATCTGTAGGAATTAGATCCTATAGGAGAATGATCCAATGCTTTCAGTTCTCATAGGAAATGATGATTCGTCATGACACATATTCTCGAACCAGATGGAATCATTTTTCCCATGAGAGGTAGAATTAGTAGTATGGATTATTAGCATTTGATAAAGGCTCTGATTTTCCCACTTGTAATGATCCTGTAACACTCAATATCGAATGTATCCACTTATGTCGTGAAGAAATATCACTTGGAAATCCATGAATGGAGATGGTTTCACAATTTCTGGTAGGCACAATAAGAGGAGACAGAGTTTGTTACACATTGATAATCAGAATAAACTACTATACTGGGAGCACAACACAAAACTATATCTATAAACGAAAGGAATATTAGAACAATGAGAATTGAAAAAGAATGATATTTTTGAAAAAAATACAAAACAAGTCATGATGGTATGCCAGCTCTTGACACTGACAACTAGTGACAACTTGACATGACCACAAAGCCGGGATTGGCGTAGTGGAAGAGCGTCCGTCTCACGACCGCAAGCTCGTGGGTTCGATTCCCAGCAGGAGCAAGAAACTTTTTTCAATATTTTATTTACGAATTGAATATTGCAAAGTTTCGGAGCATCGGCTGGGGATAGTCCTGCACGATTCGCTGTTGCGTTCCAATTAACAGTGCTGCTCTCAAAGTGGCGCATGGAATTAGTAACAAAGCCTACACAGAACACGCAGCAAAGATTATGATTTGGTTGTGAGCATCAGAGGAGAAGTAGGACAGTGTATGTAGGTGGGTGTGGAAAACTACCAGCTGAGCGTGAGAGCGGGCCAGCTGCTTAGTGGACCCCAGTCTCTAACGGGGGTTAACGAGGATAGCTAGCAGGCCTGCCACTGCGCATATGGTAGTGAGTACATTACTAGCCTACAAAACACAGCCGAAAAACTCTGAAAGAGAGCTGATGGGCGGTGCCTGAAAAGGATGTTAGCCAGCTCTCTTGAGCGAACCACATCAGCCATTGGAAACACTTGGGGTTTGCAAAAAGGTCCCATTAGGGCAGTGCCGGATTTATACTCACTTACGCCAGGGGCTAACTATGACGAAACCGCCGCGCCGCCGCCAAATAATAAATTTCAATTGTCAGTTCCAAAATTCAAAGTACACTACCCGTTTACTGCTATTTCATCACATCATATGACAATAACAAGAAATCATTACGTATAACGAATCAAATTATATTTACTTATCACCTCAAACCTAACAACAAATAAATATATTTTTTAGATAAATGCTAAAACACTGAAAAAAAATGCTATTAGTGGCTAAAGAAATGAATATCTGCATCAAATAGGTGCCAAATCAATTCATTTGCTAAAATAAATAGATTGCGAGAGACTGTTACATATACTTTGTTGGATGTGTATGTACACACCAACTAGCCATCGACCTCACGAAAGGTCTTTCAGTCTTGTGTGTTTTGTGTAGGCTTTGTTACTCACTCGATATGCCACCTTAGGAGCAGCACTGTTAATTGGAACGCAACAGTGAATCGTGCGAAATCATCTCCGGCTGAGGCTACGAAATTTAGAATTTATAAATTGTTTTATGAATGAAAATTCTCTGCTCCGCCGAGGATTCGATCTAGAGATCTTCCGATTACAAGATGAGCGCTTCACCAACTGCGCTATTCCCCCATCTAAATAGATTGATTTTGCTAAAAGAACCCTATTATATCCAAATGGAATTTTGCATTGTTCTAGACCTACCTGTAACAAGTAGCAATTTTTATGGTTGTCAGTAATAGGTCGTACTGATTCGTATCGAATATAGGTTGACTGATTTAGAATACTCGGATTTTGAAGTGATCACAGGAAATTTACTTTGTTACTAATAATAGTAAATGTTATGATTTTCAATAAAACACTATCCCAACCTAGTCGTTTAGATGCGTTAGCTTCTCTTTACCGCCTCTTAAAATTCACCGCCGGGGGCTGATAGTCCCATAGCCCCCCCCTAAATCCGGCACTGCATTAGGGACTAGTTGCCGACGTGCAAACGTCACCCACCAGTACCAGTACATAACCACAAATTTCGAAAATTTTCTAGAAAAAAGTGAAGATCATTTCGTATGATACGGTAACATCCTCTAGTGGTCATACACTCAACTGAGCTATAGGGAAGACCAGTAGTTCCAGCTCACTAGATTTTTTTTCCATATTTAACAGACAATGCTCTCAACATTATTGAACCTGTTCAATGAGACTTGAGAACATGAGTTACCATAGTAATCTTTCCATGCCAGAGCAGTCCGCCTTACTCAACAAAGCAAGCAACATATACCAGTAGAGCAATTTTTTGTTGAGGTCAAATACTGTGCATGCTTTATTAAGTTTATTGAATAAATTAGCATCGTTCAAGGACGAATAAAGAGATATTCAGGATACTCACATAACACTTTCGCATTTGCAAAACTATTGACTCTAGGAAAACAACTTATTTCTTTCAGCAGGGTCCGATGTTCCATGTCCCAAACCTTCAGTTTCGAGTCTCCCGATGCGGCTGCGACCATTTTGGATTTTGAAGTGATTGCCACACTTAAACAAGGACCAGCGAGACCATCGAATATTAAGACTTCTTTATTAGCTCTTTCTAAATCTATTAGTTTCACTTCCATATCCTCGCCTGCCAAGGCAATCAACTGTAACAGAGAATCAATTACACACAGGGGTGAACAGAATTAATATAATGAAATTTGTTACATGCAAATATTTCGTTCCTTTCTGTGACTAACAAAATGTTTGATAGATCCACCATAGTGGTGTATAGTATAATGGTAATTTTCATGATAGGCATCAGACAAAAACTATGTACTGCAACTCCAACCACTATAGCTATACACTGTGGTCCATAAAGTAAGTCACCTTTGAATGGCTGTTTTTTTTTTCAATTCTGTTGGTCCATTTTGATTCCAATAGAATATGTGTTTCTTTCAGAATGGCGTCTAAATGCAATAGAGGGTCGAGTGATACCTCATTTGAAAAGTCTTTTATTTCTCTATATATCAGAATTACAGTCGAAAATGTTCATCCAGTTCAGCAATCTATTCAAAATCGAGAACAATGTTTTTTATTATTCCCTCCAAGATAAACGTTTTAACATTTCACTGGATAGAGAACTTTTCTAGTTGGAAGGATCCTGGTATGAGATTTCAAACATTATCATCGATTAAAATTCTTGTGTGAAATTCTGGCGTCATCTAGAGAATTGAAAGACATTTCGAATATGGTATCACTGGACCCTCCCTAGTTCTGTAGACAAAAATTTTCCAATCTTCTATATTTCTTATCGGAATCGAAATATAGCAATTCAACTACCTTTGGAAAAGAAAAATAATTCCCTGCCGTTCAAAAGTTAACTAGAGGACTTAATGGACACAGTGTATAACTTGAAAGAGAATTCGGAATCATACAGTAGTCATTATAAATATTTCAATAATACCCATATGAATTTTCAGAGACTGCGGCAATAATTCTTTTTTATTATTATCATTTGATGGCAACTGTCAGCATTTTGAGCAAGAACAAAATCGTATTCATATTTTACCGTTTCTCTGTGAAATGAACAGATCAAATTTTAGATGATAGTAATAATGAAACGTCATTATGATTTCTAAAAAAAATGTTTCAACAATTTTATTATATAAACAACACAATAATTCAAACTAGAATGTGAAACACCACAAACTACATCTTCTACTCAACCCTAAAAAAGCAGTCTAGCGATGCATTTTCAAGTTATTTCACTGTTAGTAATTCAGTATAACTAATGAAAGTATGTGAAATGTCTAACACCATGTTTTCTATATTTCTTTCGGAATCTGCGATTTTTTGTGATCACAAAATAATATAATATACAGGGTGATCCACGGTGGATGCTGGAGAACGAAAAGACAGAACATTCTGAAATTTGGGATGCTTTGATAATTGAACATTCTCTATCCGTCTAAAATATTTTCATCGATACAGTGTTGCCACTTCTATCAGAAACAACTAGCAACTTTGTTATTTCAAATGGAACACCCTGTATTTTATTGCATCTTTAGATTCTTCCTGAAGAGTTGATTTCATCAATGTATCCAACTTGGGGTCTAGATTAGATTAGATTACGGAGATATAGGGTGTTCAAAATCGAGATTTTTCAATTTCAGGATTTTTTTGTGTTGAAACTATTCATTATCGATCAAAACGGCTTACATGTCCCTATCTTAACTTTCGATTCATTATCTACTGACGTTTAAAGCAGGTGTTGGGATTTTTAGAAATTCATAAAGTACTAACTGATCATCAACGATTCATCTTTTATTTTATAATCAAATGTAAGTGGAGAGTTGGATCTAGAGAAAGTTATGCAGAAACACTTGTCGACGTTCAGACACAGTGCATTAAGATCAGCCCAATTACAAGAATTTTCAATGTCATTCTGAAGCTCATTGCAATGATTGATATTTGATATTGTTTTGTAGATTTTTACATCGTCAGCAAACACCAAATATTTTGAATTTTGTAACACTTCATTTAAATCATTGACAAACAGGCTGAACAGAATTGGAGCACAATGGGAACCTTGAGGGACACCAGAAGAAACCTGAATAGCATTTGAAATGAAGTTATTAATTCTAACACATTGAACTCTTTCAATCAGGAAGTTATTTATCCATGTTAGGGCTTGACTGTCAATTCCAAGTGCTTTCAACTTAGCAATTAATAATGTGTGTTCAACTCTATCAAAAGCTTCTCTATTTTATTTTTACATAATTCATGTGTTTGTTCACTGAACACTGTGGATGTGTCATCTGCATACATTATCAAAATCATGTTTTCATCAGCGATCAGTGGCAGCTCACTAGTATACAAAATATATATCAATGGTACAAGTATGGACCCTTGTGGAACTCCTCTTTTAATTATTTTTCCCTCAGATTTTGATAGTCTGCCACTTTTCTCATATTCTGTAACAGATTGTTTCCTGTTATGAAGGTTTTGCACTGTTCCTCTTATACCTTGCAAATCAAGCTTCTTGCACAGGATAGTGTGATCAACACTGTCCTAGACAGATCCAACACAGTGGGCTTTGGAAATATTTACAAAAAACCATCATCTCGGGCCCTCTTTCATATGACCTTTTTTTACTATTTCTGTTCCTGTATGTGGTTGAAATATTTCTATGTTATTTCGGGACACCCTGAATATATACACTGTCGATGGATTTCGTTATGCTAGTTCCGGAAATTAAACCAATAACACCGTCACCGAGAAAGAACTGCAAGTCCTTTTATCTTCCATTCCACTTCGCGGTTTCGTAAATTACCTACTCAACAACCACCAAGTTCGCAATTTTTCAAAATCAAATCACAGAATAGTAACAACTTGCCTCATCCACAGCTTTGCAGATAGTACCCTCCATACTGCGTTCTCTTCCAGAATTCCCATTTCTTCCCAGGAAACTAAGAACTCACGGCGCAGGCGGGTCAATGCTGTGAATGAAGACCTTGCTGAAATCACAGCATGGGGAACCAACAACCTAGTTGAATTCAACGCCACCAAAACTCAAGCCTGTATTTTCTCTAGAAAGGTGGAACTCAGTATGCCGATATTCTCACCAGCTCACCATATCTATGCTCGGTATTTCCATCAGCAACACTCTCTCATGGGATAATCATGTCAGAGCCATCGCAAAAGCTGCTTCACAAAAACTCGGATTCTTGTTCCGTGCGAAAAGCTACTTTACACCTCAACAGCTTCTCATGATATACAAAGCGCAGATACGGCCTGTTCTAGAATACTGTTCCCACATATGGGGTTCTGCACATACGCTGATGCTCTTAGATTCCATCCAGAGAAGAGCCATTCGCCTGGTGGGTGACGCCACACTCACTCACTCTTTGACATCATTGGAACACCGTAGGAAGGTCGACGACCTTTCACTTTTCTATCGATACTTCCACGGGAAATGTTCTTCGGAAATCTCTGCTATCATCCCTTCACTAGCAATACCAGTCAGACGAACTAGACAAGCCCAGTCAGCAAATCCTTTCGTTGTCAACCTCGCAAGATGTCGAACAGCACTTTATCAAAACTCCTACATCCATAGAACGGCTAGGCTCTGGAATTCATTGCCTGAGGAAGTATTCCCAAAAACATAATCTCCAGAAAATCAAAAAAAAAATCCAATACCTACCTCCTGTCCCTATACTCCCTAGGAACGCACGATGTTCTTTGAACACTATAGGGATTTCCTTTCGTGCGCTCCGAGCGATAAAAAAATTTTTAAAAAAATAAAATAAAAAAAGTCTGACCAGGTGCCATTCCTGTTGAAAACTTCGAATTTCACGTCGATAATTTTCTTATTTTAATATAATATCATCCCAATATTGATTCGTCCTTTTTCTTATCACAGAAAAAATTATGTTTGTGCACGGGAAAATTTCAGCTCGAGGTTATGTTGTCTCCCTTTGAGGATATATTTGACAGTTGTATATTGTATACATTCCCAAACTGATCGAGTGATAACCAATCAATCAGACAAAAATTGTTCTCCTGGGATTAAAAAAGTGATTCCGAAGCACATATGAAAAACAGGGTGTTCCATTTGAAAAAATTGATTTGTAGTTTGTCACGGTTTTATGGATCACCCTGTAAAACTGCTGATAACGGCTGAAGAAAGTCAACTTCCGCATATTTTTTCCCGACTATTCCACTTCTGGTCTCTAGATTCAATCAGAATCGGCCATTTTCGCGGATATTTCTGTACTAAAGTGATATTTTGTTGTTTACTAAATTTTATCGGACTTACTCTACCAATACAGAAGCCGAATTGACCCACATGTGACCAGCCTTCCACGTTTTTTAGCGATGAAATTTTGAACGTTTAAAACGTCAATTATGTGGAAGCCAGAATGATAGATTCAGTGTGCGCAACTCTCGCAAGCCGCTCGTTTATTATCCCAATCAATCTACAACTAGTGATACTATTTTTCCTGCAAATATTCGTCGATTGACATACTCCAACTTTCTGCTTTAATTTCGCTCATGACTTTGTTCCATTCCACAATGTCATTCGGCGAAATTATTAGGCAACAAGCTGTCGTAACAATCGCTGAATATTTTCGGCAAAATAGTATCACTTGTGGTATTACATATGATAAAGATAACGTTAATATGGGGGGTGGGCCTCTTCGATGGATAACCCTGTACATACATATATTCAAAAATATGATCCTCCAATATTTTTACAACTGGAACGTTAAAAATTCACCAAAGGAAACCATAGACAATTAACAAAGAATAATGTTTGCATTTTCATAATGAAAGCGGGCATGTTTGTTCCAGAAACGTCCAAAAATATGTGACATTGTTCATTCTCTTTCTAAATGTTTATTTAACAAGATGAATTAATCTTTTATCTCACTAATAGTAGAATTTCGAGGGTAGTGACATTTTAGGGCATATCATCTGACTTGGCTTCACTACAAGTATATCGAAATAATATTAATATTTTTATTCATTGAGACCAGGAGAAAATCCCAGAAATCAAGATAAATTAATATTTCACTGCCTGGATTTACTTATAGATCTTATTATACAGGGTATCCGGAAAGATCAGGCTGTAAATAATAGTGCTGATAGAGTGAGCCAAAAT